TAGTTCAGGCTGGCCTTGAACTCACTAGATAGCTCAGGCTGGCCTCGAACTCATGATGATCCTCCTGCCTCAGCCTCCTGAGTGCTGGGATTACAGGCATGCACCACCATGTCCGGTTTAGAGTTTTCATAAAGGTTCTATTGTATCTCCTTTGTTGACTTATGAGGTATAATTCTCTTTCATTCATTGATTTCTATATCTTTGACCTATTATAATCTGTCATCAACTAATACTGTATCATTTCATGTATAGTAAGATACCTTTTATTTTTTGAGACAGGGCCTCCCCATGCAGTTTAGACTGGACTTGAACTCACTGTGTACCCCAGACTGCCCTTGAATTCATGCTAGTCCTTCTGTTTAAGCCTCCTGAATGATGGGATTACAAGCATGTGCTATCTTGTCCTGCAAAAGATACTTTTCACTTCTCTACCTCTGTACTATTGTTAGAAATTTTCCTTCTACATATGATATAAACCCCATTATTTTTACTTTTGCTTTATAAAGCTGATCTCTTTGAAAAACATTTGAAGAATAAGAAAAAGAGCTGGGCATTGTGGCACACACCTTGTAATCTTAGCACTCCGGGTGGCTGAGGGAGGAGGATTCCAAGTTTGAGCCCAGCCTGGGCAACTTAGCAACTTAGTGAGACCCTGTCTCAAAGTAAAAAATAAAAATATTGAGGATATAGCTCAGTGTGAAGGCCCTGGGTTTAGTCACTAGTACTAGCCAAAAAAAAAAGTTTTTCATATCTACTCACATATTTACTATTTCTGGGACTCTTTATTCCTTTGTGTTGATCAAGATTTTTGTCGCATCATTTCTTGCTGCCTGAAGAACTTCTTTAACATTTCTTGTAGTACGTATCTACTGGGCTGATTTTTTTTTTTTTCCATCCCTGGGAATTGAACCAGGGCCACTTGCGTGCTAGACAAGCACTTTATCACTGAGCTACATCCTGAGCCCTGTTTTTGTTTTTTATTGAAATGTAATTCACATACTATTCCCTATTGTAAAGTGTGCATTGCGGAAGTTTTTATTATATTTATTGGGCTGTCAGCCATCACCATTGCCCAATTCCAGAAAATTTCAACACTCCCAAATGAAACTTCATGCTTACTAGTAATTATTCCTCCTAGTATCAGGGAACTACTAATCTGTTTTTTGTCTGTACTGATTTGTCTATTTTGGACGTTTCTAATACAGCCAAGACAATACAATATGTGACTTATGTGTCAGTCCTTCAGTTGCCATAATCTTTTAAGTTCATCTGTTTTGTTGCATATATCAGTGTACCATTTCTTTTTGTAGTATTCCATTCTATGGATGTACCATATTTTTTATCTAATCACTAGATGGGTATTTGAGTTTCCACAATTTCACTCATACATTTGCTTATGAACATGCATAAGTTATTCTTGGGTATATACCTAGGGTATAGAACTGCTGTGTTATCTGGTGATTTTCTATTTAACTTTTTAATAAACTGCCTGGCTGTTTTTCACAATGGCTGCACCATATTACATTCCACCCTGCATTGTATGAGGGTATAGTTTCTCTTCAAGCTCTTCACTTATTTTCCAGGTTTTAAAAATTCACGTCCTACTTGGCTGTGAAGTGGTACTTTATTGGAGTTTTAAATTTGCAATTTCCTAATAACTAGTGGGGCCATCTTTTCAAATACTGTGTTTAAGTGGTTGACTTAGGTTTTATTTTGTACATCTTTCACTTAGCACAGATTTTGTCTTTGAGGACAAAGCCCATTTACGTTCTTTGCCCAATTTTAAATGGCCTATTATTTTTCTTTTTAAATGTTTTCTTAATGTAATACGATACATTGATTAGTTTTCATGTATTGAACCAACTTTTTATTCCTGGAATAAATCACAGTTGTTCATGGTGTATAATTGCTGTAGTATGCTGTTGAATGTAGTTTGAATTTATATTCATGTTAGAGATTGGTTTCTTTCCTTGTGATATCTTTTTCTGGTTTTGGTATTAAGGTAATTCTGACTTAATAAAATGCTGGAAAATATCTGGATGAGTTCATGAAAGATTGGTTATGAATCTTCTTAAAATATTTCAGAGAATTCACCAGTGAAGCCATTTGTTTGAGTTTTTTCTTTGTGGGTAATTCTCTTAAACTGTTGATTCAGTTTCTTTTTTTAAATTAAGTTTATTGGTACATTTTAGGTATACAATACAGTTACATTCATCATTGGGATCTTGTACCTTTACATGATGTATCTTGGTTCTTATTTTTTTTCCCATTCCCCTGCCCTCCCTTCACCCCCTCCACCCTTCCCTATTTACAAGGACTTTGTTTCCATTTTTTCCTTTTTCTCATATTTTCTCTTTTCCCTTCTTTCCTTTCCCCTACCCTTCCCACTTCCCCTACTCCTTTAGACCTTTTTTTCCTATTTCAATGATCAATTATACATTTTGATCATTATTAACACTTTTAGTGTTTCACACCAGAGAAACTATTCAGTATTTACACATTTGTCCTGTTTATTTCACTTAAGAGTATCGCCTCAATGTGCATCCATTTAGCTATAAATGTCTCTAGTTTCTCATTCTTTATGGCTGAGTAGTACTCCATTTTATTAAAAAACCGCACCTTTATCCAGTCTCTTTATCTATCTTTATACTGCTCCAAGCTGTAGCTATTAGAAACTGCTGCTATAAACAGGGGTGTGCATATATTGTTGTGGTATGTTGTTTTTAATTCTTTTGGGAAGATACCCAGTAGAGGAATTGCTGGGTCAATCTCTAATCCTAGTTTTTTGAGGTATCTCCGTACTGATTTCCACAGTGGTTGCACCAGTCTGCACACCCACTGACAATGGAGAAGGGTTCCTCTTTCCCCACACCCCCACCAGCATTTGTTATTGGTTGATTTCATGATAGCAGCCTTTCTTTCTGGGGTGAGGCAGAATCTCAGCATTGTTTTCATCTG